ACTTACACCTCTCCACAGAATGGTGTTGCTGAACGCAAGAACCGCCATTTGTTGGAAGTCACTCGTGTCCTGTTATTCTAAATGAATATTTTTCGATATTTTTGGAGTGATGTTGTTCTTACTGCTTGTCACCTTATTAATCGTATGTCATCCTCTATGTTAAATGGGCAAAGCCCATATTCTGCTATTTTTCCTGGTAAGCCCTTATTTTTTCTGACTCCTAAGATTTTTGATTGTGTCTGTTATGTTCACAATTTGGGTCCTGGGTTTAACAAACTTGACCCTCGAGCTACCAAATGTGTATTTCTTGGTTACTCCCGCATGCAGAAGGGGTATCGTTGCTACAGCCCTTCTCTGCACCGATATTTTACTAGTGCGGATGTTATATTTGAAGAATTTGTTTCATACTTTTTAGCACTTTCTCAGTCTTTGGATCTGGACTTTGGATCCTTTCCTATACCACCATTTCTTTCCTTATCTTCAGATATTCCGCTATCCACTATGTTCCCATCTACTTTACCTCTCTATGTTTACTCTCGCCGTCCTCGCCCATCGACTGAAGTGGCCGTACCGTCTTCCTTACAGTCTTCTGATCCTGGTACATCAGGTAATTTAGATTTTTTACCTATTGCTCTTCGCAAAAGTACTCGTTCTTGTGTTACTAATCATCCCATTTCTCATTTTGTTTCATATGATGTCTTGTCTCCTGTCTTCTCTCGTTTTATTTCCCAATTATCTGCTATATCTATTCCTAAGCATTTACAGGATACATTATCTGATTCGGGTTGGAGGAAAGCTATGGAAGAGGAGATGGATGCTTTACATCATAATGGGACTTGGGATCTTGTTCCTTTACCCTCTGGTAAATGAACTGTTGGCTGCCGTTGGGTGTATACTGTTAAATTTCATCCAGATGGTTCTGTGGAGCGTCTCAAAGCCCGGCTTGTTGCAAAGGACTTTACTCAGACTTATGGTATTGATTATGAGAGGACNGATTTGGAAAAATTCAGGTATTTCTTGTGTATTGAGATGACTCGATCTAAACAAGATATTTGTTTATCCCAGAGGAAATATGTACTTGACATGCTTAAGGAAATAGGTTTGCTGGGTGGTAGATCGATTGATGTTCCTATGGATCCGAATCAGAAATTATTNATTGATTATGAGAGGACTTTTTCTCCTGTTGCCAAAATTTTCTCTGTTCATATCTTGATTTGTTTGGCTGCTAATCTTGATTAGCCCTTGTTTCAGTTAGATGTCAAGAATACCTTCTTATATGGTGATTTGGTTGAAGAGGTATACATGGAGCAGCCACTTAAGTTTATTGCTCAGGGGGAGTATGGTAAGAGTGTATGTCGTTTAAAAAAATCTTTGTATGATTTGAAGCGATCACCAAGGGTATGGTTTGGTAAGTTTTCAGATGCAGTTTTAGAGTTTGGTCTTCTTCAATGTCAGATAGATCATTCTATGTTTCAGAGACATGCAGATNTAGTATAGTAAGTCAGTTCATGAGATGTCCTAGAGTACCACATTAGGAGACAGTTACTCATATTCTGCGATATCTCAAACAAGCTCCTGGACTTGAACTGTTATATCGAGTTAATGGACATCTTAGAGTGGAAGGTTTCTCAGATGCTGATTGNACATGCAGATGTTGGGTTTGTCCTATTGGTGGTCTATATAGATGATATTGTGATTACTGAAAATGATTTTGAGGGGATTGCCAAGTTAAAAGTATTCTTACTGGATCGATTTCATACTAAGGATTTGGAAAAACTCAGATATTTCTTGGGTATTGAGGTGGCTCGATCTAAACAGGGTATTTATTTATCTCAGAGGAAATATGTACTTGATATGCTTGAGAAAACAGGTTTGCTGGGTGGTAGACCGATTGATGTTCCTATGGAGATCCGAATCAGATATTATTGATGGATGATGTTGTATTGTTTGAGAATCTGGGTCGGTATCGCAGATTGGTTGGGAAGCTTAATTACCTCACTATTACTCGACCGGATATTTTCTATGCAGTTAGTATAGTAAGTCAGTTCATGGGATGTCCTAGAGTACCACATTGGGAGGCAGTTACGCGTATTCTGCAATACCTCAAACGAGCTCCTGGACTTGGACTGCTATATCGAGCTAATGGACATCTTAGAGTGGAAGGTTTCTCAGATGCTAATTGAGTTGACTCTTCTTCTGATCGGAGATCAACCACTGGTTACTATACTTTCTTAGGAGGTAATGTTGTCTCATGAAAAAGTAAGAAACAACCCGTGGTAGCAAGATCTAGTGTTGAGGCTGAGTATAGGGCAATGACATATACGACGAATGAGTTGACTTGACTACTACACTTCCTCTAGGAAATTGGATTTTCAGTTCAACTTCCTTTACAGTTGTTCTGTGACAACCAGACAGCTATTCATATCGTTGTCAATACTGTGTTTCACGAGAGAACCAAGTATATTGAGGTTGATTGTCACTTTATTCAGGACAAGATAGTAGCGGGGGAGATTACAACTCTATTTGTGAAATCTGAAGATCAACTTGTAGATATGTTTACCAAAACATTGAGTCGTACACGTCTTACAACTATTTGTTCCAACCTTGAATTATATGATATATATAGTCTAGCTTGAGGGGGAGTGTTAAGAATAGTAGGGTAGTATGTGTAAATTGTTAATAGTAAGAGGGTGTATGTGTAATTCTTANAAATTACGCCTAAACTATCTAGGATTTGTTATTTAATAAGTTAAATTTTTTTATATTTAAAATATTATATACAGATTTTTAAAATTTTTATGTGCATAACACTTACATCCTTTTTGTAAATATATCAATTGATAAATTACACTTAAATTCCTTAAAGTTTATAAACATATATTATTTAGACTTTTTAAGTTTAAAATGATATATTTAGATAAAAAATATTTTAATAAAAAATAAAAAATAAATTATTTTTAACCTTTACAATTAAAATTCATATTCTATTGTATCATTTATTGAAATATAATCACAAATAAAAATTCAATTTTTTCTTAAAAAATTTTAATTAATATACAATTATATTGTCGATTGAAATTTAATTTAGTCGTTTAAACAATTAAATTAAAATATCAAACTATCACAATTAAAGATAAAAGGTATTGTGTTCATTACAGTCTGACCCATTATTTAATTTTTTTAGTTTTATTCTAATAGATAGTATAATTATATACTAATTATGATTTTTTTAAAAAAAAATTGGATTTTTATTTTTGATTTTATTTGTATAACTGACATAATAGAATATAAATTTTGGATGTAAAATTTATGTTCTATTATGAATGACTTAGACCCCTTATTTGATTTTTTAGTTTTATTCTAATAGATAGTATAATTGTATATTAATTATAATTTTTTAAGAAAAAATTAAAATTAAAATTTTAATTTTAATTTTATTTTAATAAAATGATATAATAGAATATAAATTTTGATTTTAAAATATTTGATATTCTATCTTTAATTGAAATATTTTTAATTTAAGTAATATATTTTAAACTTAAGAGCTCTAATTAATATATATTTATAAATTTCTGGGGGTCTAAGTCTAACTTCTTAACAGATATATTTATAGCAAGGCCTAAGTGATACACGCATATAAAATTTAGGGGTTTGTGTATAATATTTTAAATATCACAGAGTTTGAGTGATTAAGTGACAAATCTTATGAAAAAGTAAATGAATTAACTTTCCTTCTAACTCACCAAAAATAATTCCTCTAAAATCAGAAGGAAAGTTGATGAAAAGTTATTTATTTATATTGAGATGTATTTCATTTATCCATATATTATGTGTACATTAATTTCATATAAAAATACAATGATATATATATATATATATAAATTAAAAATTAAAAAAGAAATTCATCTTAAGTAGGGGTAAAAGATTTTGACTCAACACAATCACACGATTCGAATTCGACATGAATTTTATGACACAAACTTGATTATACCTCAATACGAACTTGAAAATGACCTGACACGCAAATAAGAAATATAAAAAACTCATAATTTTATGACTCAACACGAATTTGACAAGACACGACTCGATTGTCACCCTTAATATTAAATAAAAAAAATTAAAAAAAATTAATCATTTTTATTTTTCATACATCCAACCAAATATAAAAGAAAAAAAATATATCATTCTTACTTTTTATTTTTAAAAGATAAAAAGTTCATCATTCCTATTTTTTATCCATCCTACCAAACGGACTATTAAGGAGTCCAGAACTTATTATAATTCTGTTTCCAATCGAATGAGTTCTAGGTTTTGTTTTGTTAGATAGGAACAGAAAGCGCCAGTCCCAGAGCAATCAAGCACAATAAATTCTTTTTTCTTTTTCTTCTTCTTCTTCAGATTTCCGGGAAAATAGAGAAGAAAATATGAATAAATAAGAAGAGTTAACTAGGGTGGACTTTTCATGCTATTAATAGGATGCTTTTCTTATTTTCCTCGCAGTTCGGTGAATCATAAGCAGTGGATACCCAGATTCCAGAATCCCACTTATAGTCCAAGAATCTGTTCATACAGTCCATACATACCCACCCACGCTTCCTTTCAGGGAGGTAAGCTCCTCTCTCTCTCTCTCTCTGTGTAAGTGAATATTCCATAATTCCTTATCTAGATGATATGATGTTCATTCATTATCAATGATTTCATATTCTTGATTAAATTGATTACTTGTTTTGTAGTAATTTTTCTTTTTGTATTAATAGATTGGATAATACATCACGTAAAAAATATTTTATAAATTGCCTTACGTTTTACCTCTGCTTATTTGAAAAGTTCAATCTCACCATGGGTATGTATATGTAATAAGATCATGTTATGGAATTTTGAGAATTGTTCTAGTTCTCTTATAGATTTTTTTCTTACCAGGTGTTAATTGTTCTGGTTTAGCTGATTCTGAAGTTAAGTTTTTCATTACTTACACGAACTGCTATATAAAGGAAGCAACAATGTCTACCCCTAATGACAATGGGGCTTCGGTTAGGCTTGAGGTTTGTAACCAAGCCTTTGTATTCCTTAATGTAGGACAAGTGATACTTTATAGAGCAATATTAATTGTTTTTTGGGTTATTAGAGTTTATTAACATATGAAGTTTCTTTGGTCAGGGAAAGTATGCTGCAATGTTAGTGTGTTGGCTCCTAGGAAATGGGTGCCTCTTTTCTTGGAACAGTATGCTGACAATAGAAGATTACTATGGGTATTTGTTCCCGGTAATTGCCATCTCCCGTAGTTGCATTCGTTTCGTTAGGTTTCTAATATGATTTTTCTTTGATGTGTAAAGTTCGAAATTTGGAGCCTTTAATTGCAGTTAGTCATTATATGCTTCATTCCTAAATCTAAATGCTTGGTTGTGTATTAGGCGGATACCATTTTTGTGCCTTTTGTCCCTAATTCTGTTCTTCTTTAGAACATGTTTTTTTTTTCTCGGGTGTACCTCTGCTTATGTTTCAGTTCATAAGTAATCGTTTCTTGATGTTGTTCGCTGCTGGTTTTTTTATATTTCTAGTTGTATGTTCTTTTTTCCCAGTTTTGCTTGGTAACAGTAACAATATTGGTTGTACAATGTTAAGAATAGTAGGACAGAATGTGTAAATTGTTAATAGTAAGGGGGTGTATATGTAATTCTTATTAGTGTAGATTAACTATAAATACAAGTGATGCATAAGAGTTAGGTTAAGTTTTTAACTTCTCTCTTTTTCCCTAATATTATGTTATGTTAATTTTCTAAACCTAACATGGTATCAAAGCAAAACCAATACAAATTTTAAACTAGTTCGCAATTGTGTGAATTTTTAACTATTCTGGTTCTGTGGTCGACGTTGTACTGTTCATCGAGTTTCGCTTTAGTGGTGTAGTCGACTAGTTCTGCATCAGGGTGGCTTCTGGTTCTGTAGTCGACTAGTTGTTCTTGGCGTTAGGTTGGTGTGGCTGCTATTTGTTGGCTGTCAACGTTGTGCTGCTCGTCGACTGGTGTTGGTTGTTCATCATTGTAGGTGGTGGTGCTGTCGGTGGTGGTACGGTGGTGCTGTCGCTCGTTGCGCAGTCATTCGTCGTCGTCTGTGTTGAGGTTCTATTGTGTCGCTTGTCGTGGTGTTGTGGTTCTGTTGTGGAGTTGATTGTTGTTGTTGTGTTGTGTCATTCGTTGTTGGTGGTGAGTTGCAGTCGAAACAGAGGAGTCTTTTGGAACCCTAACCAACGAAGAAGATAAAGTTCAAACCCGGTTCAGCCTAAAACGGTTTGGTCTCGGTTCAGTATAGTTTATGTGGTTCAGACCGGTTCAGTGATCCAGAGAGTCAAACCGGTCCGGCAGCGGTCCAGAGGACTCAGCATGTCCGGTTCAATAGTCCAGCGTCCTTTCCTTCCCCGGTTAAGTGGTCCAGTCAGCTTTCCGGTCCAGTTCAGCAGTGCAGTACACTTCTACAGTCCGGTTCAGCAGTGTTGTACACTTTTGTAGTCTGGTTTACTTAGTTTTTACACCGGTTCAGCTTGACTCAGTTGGTTTTTACTCCAGTTCAACCTGATTCAGTTGGTTTCTACTCCGGTTCATTAGTCTCAGCGTTCTCTTGCAACACTTCTTGTTTGCTATTTGCTGCACCATTATGGAACCCAAGCAAGATACTAGATCCCAGCAACAGGCTGTCCCATCTCCCTCCATTGCTACTTTTGCCCAGTCAGGTATTGCTTCTACTAGTTTATTGTCCTCCACTCGCAGTCCCTAGATCATAGACTCTGGCACTTCTGACCACATGACTGGTGCGTCTAATGTTTTTTCTACTTAACAGTCTGCTACTTCCACACATAGTGTTACTCTTGTTAATGGTACTTGTTCTAAAGTTTCAAGTCTAGGAATTGCTCACTTGAGTCCTGATATGTCCCTATCTTCCGTGTTATTTGTTCCTCAGTTTTCTTTTAGTTTACTTTCCATTAGTAAGATTACCTGTTCTCTGAATTGTTTTGTAACCTTTTATTCTTCTTATTGTGTCTTTCAGGATCTCAAGACGAAGAGGAAAATTGGTACGGGGCATGAAGCTGATGGCCTATATTACCGTGATTTTGATTCACCTACCCAGGCTCTACAAACTTCGTTGTCTCCTTTTCAATGGCATTGTCGTCTTGGGCATCCCTCTCTCCAGAATCTGAAGCGCCAAGTTCTCAGCCTTAGTTATGTGTCGTCTTTATCTTGTAAAGCTTGTCAACTTAGTAAACATCACCGTGTGTCTTTTCAATCTAGAGTCAATAATCGTGTATCTAGTCCATTTGAGTTAGTACATTCTGATATATGGGGTCCCATAAAGAATATTTTATCTAATAAATATTCTTATTTTGTGACATTTGTGGATGACTATTCTTGTGTGACTTGGTCGTTTTTTATGAAAGCTCGGTCTGAATTATTCTCTATATTTGAAAAATTTTGTAAGGAAATAAAAACTCAGTATGGTTGTCATATATGTACTTTACGTTCCGATAATGTTCGAAAATATGAATCTGATCATTTTTCAATTTATCTTAGTAAAACTGGCATTATTCATCAGACTTCTTGTACTTACACCTCTCCACAGAATGGTGTTGCTGAACGCAAGAACCGCCATTTGTTGGAAGTCACTCGTGTCCTGTTATTCTAAATGAATATTTTTCGATATTTTTGGAGTGATGTTGTTCTTACTGCTTGTCACCTTATTAATCGTATGTCATCCTCTATGTTAAATGGGCAAAGCCCATATTCTGCTATTTTTCCTGGTAAGCCCTTATTTTTTCTGACTCCTAAGATTTTTGATTGTGTCTGTTATGTTCACAATTTGGGTCCTGGGTTTAACAAACTTGACCCTCGAGCTACCAAATGTGTATTTCTTGGTTACTCCCGCATGCAGAAGGGGTATCGTTGCTACAGCCCTTCTCTGCACCGATATTTTACTAGTGCGGATGTTATATTTGAAGAATTTGTTTCATACTTTTTAGCACTTTCTCAGTCTTTGGATCTGGACTTTGGATCCTTTCCTGTACCACCATTTCTTTCCTTATCTTCAGATATTCCGCTATCCACTATGTTCCCATCTACTTTACCTCTCTATGTTTACTCTCGCCGTCCTCGCCCATCGACTGAAGTGGCCGTACCGTCTTCCTTACAGTCTTCTGATCCTGGTATATCAGGTAATTTAGATTTTTTACCTATTGCTCTTCGCAAAAGTACTCGTTCTTGTGTTACTAATCATCCCATTTCTCATTTTGTTTCATATGATGTCTTGTCTCCTGTCTTCTCTCGTTTTATTTCCCAATTATCTGCTATATCTATTCCTAAGCATTTACAGGATACATTATCTGATTCGGGTTGGAGGAAAGCTATGGAAGAGGAGATGGATGCTTTACATCATAATGGGACTTGGGATCTTGTTCCTTTACCCTCTGGTAAATGAACTGTTGGCTGCCGTTGGGTGTATACTGTTAAATTTCATCCAGATGGTTCTGTGGAGCGTCTCAAAGCCCGGCTTGTTGCAAAGGACTTTACTCAGACTTATGGTATTGATTATGAGAGGACTTTTTCTCCTGTTGCCAAAATTTTCTCTGTTCATATCTTGATTTGTTTGGCTGCTAATCTTGATTAGCCCTTGTTTCAGTTAGATGTCAAGAATACCTTCTTATATGGTGATTTGGTTGAAGAGGTATACATGGAGCAGCCACTTAAGTTTATTGCTCAGGGGGAGTATGGTAAGAGTGTATGTCGTTTAAAAAAATCTTTGTATGATTTGAAGCGATCACCAAGGGTATGGTTTGGTAAGTTTTCAGATACAGTTTTAGAGTTTGGTCTTCTTCAATGTCAGATAGATCATTCTATGTTTCAGAGACATGCAGATGTTGGGTTTGTCCTATTGGTGGTCTATATAGATGATATTGTGATTACTGAAAATGATTTTGAGGGGATTGCCAAGTTAAAAGTATTCTTACTGGATCGATTTCATACTAAGGATTTGGAAAAACTCAGATATTTCTTGGGTATTGAGGTGGCTCGATCTAAACAGGGTATTTATTTATCTCAGAGGAAATATGTACTTGATATGCTTGAGAAAACAGGTTTGCTGGGTGGTAGACCGATTGATGTTCCTATGGAGATCCGAATCAGATATTATTGATGGATGATGTTGTATTGTTTGAGAATCTGGGTCGGTATCGCAGATTGGTTGGGAAGCTTAATTACCTCACTATTACTCGACCGGATATTTTCTATGCAGTTAGTATAGTAAGTCAGTTCATGGGATGTCCTAGAGTACCACATTGGGAGGCAGTTACGCGTATTCTGCAATACCTCAAACGAGCTCCTGGACTTGGACTGCTATATCGAGCTAATGGACATCTTAGAGTGGAAGGTTTCTCAGATGCTAATTGAGTTGACTCTTCTTCTGATCGGAGATCAACCACTGGTTACTATACTTTCTTAGGAGGTAATGTTGTCTCATGAAAAAGTAAGAAACAACCCGTGGTAGCAAGATCTAGTGTTGAGGCTGAGTATAGGGCAATAACATATACGACGAATGAGTTGACTTGACTACTACACTTCCTCTAGGAAATTGGATTTTCAGTTCAACTTCCTTTACAGTTGTTCTGTGACAACCAGACAGCTATTCATATCGCTGTCAATACTGTGTTTCACGAGAGAACCAAGTATATTGAGGTTGATTGTCACTTTATTCAGGACAAGATAGTAGCGGGGGAGATTACAACTCTATTTGTGAAATCTGAAGATCAACTTGTAGATATGTTTACCAAAACATTGAGTCGTACACGTCTTACAACTATTTGTTCCAACCTTGAATTATATGATATATATAGTCTAGCTTGAGGGGGAGTGTTAAGAATAGTAGGGTAGTATGTGTAAATTGTTAATAGTAAGAGGGTGTATGTGTAATTCTTATTAGTGTAGGTTAACTATAAATACAACCAGACAGCTATTCATATCACTGTTAATACTGTGTTTCACGGGAGAACCAAGGATATTGAGGTTGATTGTCACTTTATTTGGTACAAGATAGTAGCGGGGTAGATTACAAATCCATTTGTGAAATCTGAAGATCAACTTGCAGATATGTTTACCAAAGCATTGAGTCGTACACGCCTTACAACTATTTGTTCTAAGCTTGAATTATATGATATATATAGTCCAGGTTGAGGGGGAGTGTTAAGAATAGTAGGGTAGTATGTGTAAATTGTTAATACTAAGAGGGTGTATGTGTAATTCTTATTAGTGTAGGTTAACTATAAATACAAGTGATGTATGAGAGTTGGGTTAAGTTTTTAACCTCTCTCTTTCTCCCTAATATTATGTTATATTAATTTTCTAAACCTAACATACAGGAAGCACCTAATGCATGCCCTTGGAACTATGTCATCAACAACTAATTATACTTGACTACCACTCAACTTGTGCAATCCAAANATTGGATTTTTATTTTTGATTTTATTTGTATAACTGACATAATAGAATATAAATTTTGGATGNCCTTACAACTATTTGTTCTAAGCTTGAATTATATGATATATATAGTCCAGGTTGAGGGGGAGTGTTAAGAATAGTAGGGTAGTATGTGTAAATTGTTAATACTAAGAGGGTGTATGTGTAATTCTTATTAGTGTAGGTTAACTATAAATACAAGTGATGTATGAGAGTTGGGTTAAGTTTTTAACCTCTCTCTTTCTCCCTAATATTATGTTATATTAATTTTCTAAACCTAACATACAGGAAGCACCTAATGCATGCCCTTGGAACTATGTCATCAACAACTAATTATACTTGACTACCACTCAACTTGTGCAATCCAAAAACAAACAAACAACACTCAGCCATTATAGGATAAGTAGAAACAAAACTAAAGAAACATCTGCAATTTTCCAAGGAATCAAAATCTCTGAATTCCCTTTTACGTCCTGTGCCAAGGTCAAATCTTTGACTCACGACTGCCAGACACCCTGCACTTTACCTTTTGGCACACTAATGTGATAGAGCCTTAATCATGTTTTCTTACATATTTGATTATTGGATTCAATCCGTGCATGGTATATATTGTTATAGTTCTTAGTTAAACAAATTTGCATTTCAATTGGTATAACAGATTTCTTCACTTCACAGCGATACCACCCCTCAAGGGTTCTTACACTTGTTTATCAACCTTTCGCACTTGGGACACTTGCAGTACTGACTTACTATGAGGCAAAAATCAATACCAGAAGACGCAATCTGTTTGGATATACCCTTTTCTTCATAAGTACTCTCCTGGTTCTAGTTGTAAGTGCTATTGTTTTTTTTTCCCTGGTTGTTTTTCCTACATGTACTCTTACACTGTTGAATATCACATCTTGTCAAATTCTGGATAGCACATTATACTTGCTTCAGTGCCACATTATTGGTCATTTTAGTACTTTGATTTATTTGTTCGTTCATTTTTCTATAGTTGGATTTAGCTACATCTGGGAAAGGAGGAATTGGAACTTATGTTGGCATATGTGCCCTGAGTGCCGCTTTTGGAGTTTCAGATGCTCATGTTCAGGGCGGAATGATTGGAGACCTCTCATTCATGCAACCTGAGTTTATTCAAGTTGGTATCAGTCCTTAGCTTACTTTGTTAAGCTTATTTTGCTTGTAACAAATGTTTATCCTGTTACTTTTTTTATTTCCATTTGAAATTTGACAATCTTTTTCTTTATGAACTCTACAGTCTTTCCTGGCTGGTTTGGCTGCATCAGGGGCTTTAACATCTGGTTTGAGGTTGATTACAAAAGCAGCATTTGAGAATTCCAAGGATGGCCTTCGAAAGGGAGCCAGTATGTTCAAATCTCCTATTAATGTTGTTTTTTTTTTGCAATGCAAAGATTGTTGGGCAATTTACTACTACATACTGTGATTAGAACTCTCTGCTTATCTGTATTGAAGGAGAATTTCATGAGATTTATGTTTTGTTTTTATCCGAAAGACCAAATACTTCAACTATATGATCAGTTCCATTCCTTTACTTTTCACTTTGTTCTGGTAGTTTATCTCTATGATCAGCAATTTTTATGTTTTCTTTTCAATTGGTCACATTTGTTATTTCCAGCTGGACTCTCAAATCATTTGTTATTTAGCTGGTTAGTAAGTCGCTGCTGCTTACCTTCAACTTTATTTATAGTTTCTTTGAAGTCACTTAAATCTTGCCAGAATGCTGACTGTTAATGTGGATCCGATTGCATATGGTACTTCAAATTGATTTCCTTGATGTGTAATTTCATTTAAAATGTGTCCTGTCAATTTCACTTATCCAGGGCTAAAATGCTATGATAGCATATGGTCTTTTATAATTCATTTCCCATTATGCACGATTGAATGGGCACAGCAATGTCATGGTCATTCATGGAAAGAGATGGCTAAAGCTATAAGATTTGTTGCCATTAATTTGACAGTATCAAAATACAAAATCCACCCAACTTGAGCAGCACATTGATACATTATATTTACCTTGTTCAGGTTCTTACTCGACCTGGGAAGCAAGGCCCTTTTCCAAACCTTGTATCAATGTAGAACATGTCTAGGACATGGACACACACCGACACTTGAAAAAAATTGTTTAATTTGTTGTTTGACTTTCATAAACATTGGGAACATGTTCAAGGCAAGCTTTTCTTTTCTTTTTTGGAAGAAAAAAAAATTGGGCGTCAAATATAAATTAAGAAACCCCTCATATATTTATGTGAAAAAAGAAAAAAGGATCCTGTGAAGCAGCTATCACCTTACAACCATTAAATCTAAAGGAAACAAAATATAGGAAGAGGGAAGAGGATAGACAGGAAATTACCAATGTTACCTTTTACAACCATGACACCTGATGACTTTTGTTGCCTTTCAGCAGCCTCATGTGGTTGCCAACATTATATTCATTTTTCTAAAAGTCCATATTCCTTTTCATAGTATTTTTTTTCATGTTAGTAATGTTTAAATTTTAAATAATAAATCAATGATGTACTTCAGTATGACTAATTTGTATTTATGATTATGTCCTCGCATGTTCATGTTTGCTTTTAGAGAATTTGTGATGCCTTTTCGATCTCATGTCTTATCTCTGTGTCCAATGGCCAGATTTGTGCTTCTTAGTCCACAGGAATGAAATTATCACTTCAATTTTTATTTCTTGATTTTTTTATATAGTTTTGAAGGTGTAAATCCGTGAGTCTCCACTATACAACAACATTTTGCTAGATTGAAATCAATTTCAAGAGAATGGTTTCACTTTCTAATATTGTGACGGAGTGTGTCTATATTGTGTGTTTGAAATTTGTAAGTTTCGTTTGAAAACATTTTAGTATTGTAACTTACTAATATTTGTGTCCATTTTGCAGTTTTGTTCTTTGCTATCTCCACAGTCTTTGAGCTGCTCTGTGTTCTTCTCTATGCATTTATCTTTCCAAAGCTACCGATTGTGAAGTACTACCGCTCAAAGGCAGCCTCGGAGGGATCCAAAACTGTTTCAGCTGACCTTGCTGCTGGTGGCATTTACACACAACCCAGAGAAGAAGTATTGCTCTTTCGCTTTATAGGATGATACTGTCGGGCAAGTTGTTTCTGGTAACCCGAGATCAAATCTTTTTTTTGTCATTAATGCAGGCTCAGGAAGATCCTAAACAACCAGAGAGGCTGAGCAACAAAGAGTTGTTATTTCAAAATATTGATTATGCATTAGATATGTTTCTGATATTTTTGCTGACTTTGTCGATCTTCCCTGGGTTCTTATCTGAAGACACCGGATCACATGGCTTGGGCACATGGTATGATATGTGTAACCACCTGTCAGAAGTCATATTTTCTAGCTCCATTACGAAATTTAAAACACTTGTAAATTTGTATTTGTTTCTTCTCGGTAAATTCTAACATTGGTCATATTTCAGGTATGCCCTGGTCCTGATTGCAATGTACAATGTATGGGATCTTATCGGGAGATATGTTCCACTCCTGAAATGCATAAAGTTGGAATCACGAAAAGGACTCATGATAGCGATACTTTCTCGTTTCTTACTCATTCCAGCCTTCTATTTCACAGCCAAATACGGTGACCAGGGCTGGATGATAATGCTGACATCCCTTTTGGGGTTAAGTAATGGTTACCTAACTGTCTGTGTTCTTACTTCTGCTCCGAAAGGTTATAAGGTTTGTTGATTCCATACATAGTGCTTTAAACAACCGCTTTCTTAAAGTTTTGAGATGGTATTCCGATGGAAATCTAATTGATATGTTGTTTGTGATGCACGGGTTTTGTAGGGACCAGAGCAGAATGCCTTGGGGAATATACTAGTGCTATTTCTTCTAGGAGGTATATTTGCAGGCGTAACAAGTGATTGGCTGTGGCTCATAGGCAAAGGTTGGTGAGTTTACGGTTTATATTGTCTTAGTTTGGACAGGAGAGACAACACATTCTCATTTCATTGAAAGTGATTCTTGAATGAATAGAAAAATGGATTGTTAGCCATCCATTAACTTGATTGCTTATTTATGTTGAGGTCACATTGAGAATTCATGTACAGATTTCTAGTAAAAAGTGATTAGTTTTGCAAATAACCAGGCAGCGAATGGTTTGGCAATGGATTGGGAGAGATCGAACCCTAAAGTCATGCGAATTCTTGGGCATTATTGGACCAAGCAGGATTTGAACCAGCGTAGACATGTTGCTAACGAATTTATAGTCAGTGCCCTTAACCGAACGGGCATCGACCTAAGAAGAATCCATTTTAGGATGGTAATCCATGGTCACCTTCATTTCGTAGTATTCAAGATGAACTCACTGCGTCTCAAGAACGAGCTTTTGAAAGCCGGTCTCCTTGCCTCAGTGGAATCCATGATACAGCCCACCAACAGAGGCCAATATACAATGGCCTTGATTAGATTGTGAGAAATTTCTAATATGAGCTCACAAGTTGATACAAAATTAGTGATAATTCTAAATATTCCCAGGAAAAAATAGAGATATCTCTTATGTTACCCATAATATGTGGAAGTATTAACGTAATTTTATAGTCATTCGATTTGAATGTTTGGTATGTGTAGACGAATAGGATTAGTGCTTTCCCATGAGGGAATTCTTCTTCTTCATTGCCTCTTATTTTAATTACGAGGTCTTTAACTTTGCCTTTGGACTGGTGGAAATTGAAAATTTGATATCGACAGAGTTATCATTAACACAAACCTTAACTATACAAAATGCAAACTCAACACTACACAAAGCCAAACTTTACACAAATGTGAATGAGTTATAGTATCTCAACAATAAACTATAGGGCAATCCCTCATAAGCTCTTGGTCATTATAATGTTTCTCAAGACTGTTACTCTAATGACCCTCAAATCTCCACCGGCCAATGTCATATGTGACCTAGTAAAGATAGTGACCTAGTAAAGATAGGAACAAATTATAAATTTAGACGTTTTGTATTCGAAATATGTCAATTCACTTAAAATGTCTACCTTTGATTGAATCAGGAAAGAGATTAGTCGATGTACNTGACCTAGTAAAGATAGGAACAAATTATAAATTTAGACGTTTTGTATTCGAAATATGGCAATTCACTTAAAATGTCTACCTTTGATTGAATCAGGAAAGAGATTAGTCGATGTACATGATAATTCACTCACTTTGAACGTCTGCTTTTGACCGAATCAAAAAAAAAAACTTATCAAAATATATATAAGTTGAATGAGACACTCTGACCACAATACCACAAAGAAAAATCCCAACCAACCAGTCGGATGGTGTTGTTGGTGAATCCACTTGGTGGCGCAAAATCCCAAGTACCAGAAGGGAGAGAATCAAAGGATTGCGTCGCGACAAACATTCAACCCATATTCTCTCTCTTAAACATGTGCATGACCATTTTTTAATCAAACTATGCAGTAATTTTTAATTCAATTTGAACTGTTTTAGATCTAATCCTTGTTTTATATGTCCAAAAAGCCATTTTTTCAAATCCTCAAACAACTATACGACCAACATACTCAGTCCTGGGGAATTGCTCTTCCTCGAGTTGTGAAGATAACCCAAAAAGCTTAAAAACTTTTCGAGATTCATTGTTTGCATACAAACACAAATTCAACACCTCGTTAATCACCACTCTAAAGCTAATCACTCCAGTAAAAGTAGTAGCTAACCCACACTTATAGATCTTGGGGGCGTTTGGTCTTCCAAATTATTATTCTTTCCGTTCTTTCATTTTAATAGTTTTTACGATTATATGGGTTAAACCATTAGAAGTTTCCTTTAATTTTCATTGTCATCATGTTAAGAGATGTTTGGGTTTGCACCCGACTCTTGAAAGGATTGATTATACACAATTTTATTATTTTTTTTTTGTATAAATAAACTTTTATTGCGAGTCAAACTCAGTTTCGAATATAATTCGGCTCTCGTTTTTATCACTTTTTTTTTTAAGTACAGTAAGAAAATAAGAGCCAAAAGAAAACGGAAAAGACAGGGCAGGTGACACAACAGGTAAAAACAAGTCTGAAATTTACAGTAGCACAAAAAGACAAAAGGACCCCCTGTTCCCCCTTTGTCATTAAGCTTCACGTGAACCCCCGACATCACATACAAAAACAGCAGGAGGGAGGGTTAAGTAAAAGGCCAAACAAACAAGAAGCCGAACAGATCATTACACAAACAAAGTAGAATGATTAGGGGCAAAAATGTAAATGCACTGATAGGCAAAGTAACAGTGGACGACGACGACGTTGAATCGGTCTTTTCGAACTGGAGTGAATTCACGGCCAAGGGCATGTTCTCCTGGTCAGGGCTACACTTGGACTGGTGGGGTGGGTGCGCACTGTACATGATGGCCCGCAATACAGCTGAAACGGTTGGTATGTACGCCGTTTTGTTCTTTGCTAGTAGCCACGTCAGCCCCATTAGCTGGCAGTCTCTGTTGAACATCTTGTTCAATCTGTCACCGTTGCCGTCTTCATCATCGTGGGTTCCATTTTTACCCTCACCTTTTAACTGTGTGAAAAAAACCAATTACATAAGGACAGTTCATACTTTTTTTTAACCATTTTGCAACTTCAAAATTTCAATTTAGACACAAATATTAAAATTTTTACATTATACTCCCAAACAAATAAAAATGTAATTTGCTTTAATAAAATTGGGTATAAAATGAGAAATATATAAATAATTATGCATAGAGATAAGAATATATATATGTATATATATATATAAAACAAAAAAAGAAAAACCATCAGACAAAGAAAGAGACGGTTTGGATGGTATACCATTTTTTTTTTTCATTTTAAAAAATATTTAAGATGTAAATTAAAATTTTCCAAATACAAAATGTCTTTTTCCCTATAATACACCTACCGAGACAAAAGCCAAAAGTGAACCTCGTAGGTGGACGGATTGAACCGAAAAAACTCCATAAAATAAACAACGGCTTATAACACTTATATTTTATGACCGAATTTACATTTGATAAATAGACCAAACAAATTGGGTATTCATGATATACACTCGAGACACTACCATATAAATAATTTACGATATGCCCCCCAAAAATCTCCTTAGCCTTCTATCTAAGGAGTAGGGTAGTGATGTATTTGATAGGTGGTAGCTTTCTATGGCATTTGTGCTCACTGCCAGAATGAGTCTGTTTTTTGTGTCACAAAATGGCAAAATTTACCTGGATACGTCTGGCCTTTGCGTATCCATTTGCCAGTGGCCTCTATCCCAAGGCAACAGTTATTTTATTTCTTTAAGTTTAATGGTCAAAATATTTAAATCAATTTATGTATATTTTAATTAATTTTTTTAAATCCAATTAAAAGTTCTTCATTTATATTGAAATTAAGACATTAGTAAAAATAATCTGAATTTGAATTTAAAGAATTTTCGAAATTTAAATTTAAAATATTTAGATTTANCTCTGTCCCAAGGCAACAGTTATTTTATTTTTTTAAGTTTAATGGTCAAAATATTTAAATCAATTTATGTATATTTTAATTAATTTTTTTAAATCCAATTAAAAGTTCTTCATTTATATTGAAATTAAGACATTAGTAAAAATAATCTGAATTTGAATTTAAAGAATTTTCGAAATTTAAATTTAAAATATTTAGATTTACCACTCGTCCTTTTACCATTTGAATTATCGAGGAAGTTAAAGACAACAAATTTTTAACATTAGAATTACAACTTTACAACTCTATTTTCTCCGTTATGAGTTTCAAATATCATTATTTTATTATTAAATTAAATAAATTATATAAATTTTNTAAATTTAAAATATTTAGATTTACCACTCGCCCTTTTACCATTTGAATTATCGAGGAAGTTAAAGACAACAAATTTTTAACATTAGAATTACAACTTTACAACTCTATTTTCTCCCTTATGAGTTTCAAATATCATTATTTTATTATTAAATTAAATAAATTATATAAATTTTTTTAATCTAAATAGTATTAGTATTACTAATGATATGACTTAAACTCAAAAAAAGTACTTTGTTCAATAACAAGTCATGCAAAATTATACTAAGAGAGGGGGGCAATGAATTTTGAACCTATCACTTAAAGTGAGCAACGGTGGAATGGCTACTAGACCAACAACGATTCCCACAATTGATTTTAAATGCCAAAAGTAAAAAGAAGAAACTAATTGAAGACTAACCTTTTGTAGAGCTCCGAGGCACTTAGTACACCCAGCGTACGAAGAATTCCGGCAATGCTTCTCCAAATTCCTCACCGCAGCAGTCGGAGTCGCGTTAAGATGCGAAGTCGTGACGTTAAACGCCGCCGGACAACTCAGGGAACTAATCTGATGAAGCCTAATCCCACAAAAGCACAAGACAGCGTCGCATGACGAGTTCGGCTGAGGAATGTGAATGTTCCGACTCTGAAGCGAACTCTGGAGCGAGTTAACACACTTCTGCGAGTCATCGGGCATCATCGGAAGGTCCGAACTCGCCGGCGGCTCAGCCGGCTGGACTTGGAGAGCAGACCGAGCGTGAGCCGCGAAAAGCCAAGCGGCTAGGACTGGACAGCACCGGCTACGGTCGAGGTTATGTCCGCATGCGTCGTTTACGCCACCGAATAACTCAGCTGATAAGTCGAGCCGGCAGATTTCGGCTTCGGTCTGCACCGGAAATGCGGGGACGGTGTTCGGATTATAATCTCCGGGTTTTAAGGGATGTGCCGGTTCGGCAAGGAGACCGGCGAGTGAGTTGTTGAAGAGAGAGAATGTAATAATGGAAAACATAAGAGATGCTGATAATCTGAATTTCTTCATTGTGAGTTTGGGGAAATCGACTCTCATTTTCACTAGTGAAAAGGGAGGGAAGGGCCAAAAAGTAGAGAAACTGCTTGGAAATTAGAGAAAGGAAAAGAGAAGGCTGACTTTGAATGAAACTTTTTCCTTTTCGAGGGAAATCTGAGGAGTGAATGGGTTATTTTCTCTGTGTTTTTTCCTGGGAAAATAATGTGAGTGTTTGTTTGTAAACAAAAAAGAGGAGATTCAGGGGATACTCAAAGAAAGGTCTGATTTGCTTTACTTGAAAGAGCTTAACCAAGAGAAAGAGAAAGAGTTCTCTCTCTCTCTCTCTACAATGAGCTGAGGATGATTGAAGAGAGCGGGGAAATAAAAGGATGATGAGGGATCTCTCTTGATTTATGCGCGACGCTCCAAGTTCACGAAATGAATTTGATTTATTCGCAAATTCGAGAGAGAAAAGCAGAGAGGAAAGTGGCGGGGTGGGCGAGGAAAAAGATTCGTGGGTAGAGAGAGAGAGAGAGGAAAAAGGGCATCATAGAAGAAGACAGAATGAAAAGGAAAGGCTGTATAAGGAATTGGCAGCTTGTGTCCTTTTCTTTTTCATTCTCCGTCGCTCTCTGGCTGATGTTAAAGTGGCATATGCTCTTTTGGTGAGGGAGAGCTGTGACTGATTACAGGCAGGGCAACGTGGGGGAAGCACATAAAAAATTGTTTGCAATATTGTACTCAAAATCCATTTTATTAGTTTAAGGGTTTTTTATTTCATGACAGATATATTAAAAATAGAATCGCACATGAATTATATTAGTAATCAAAATATCCAATTTGCCCCCGACCCTAAGCCTTTTGGCATTATTGTACANTTAAGGGTTTTTTATTTCATGACAGATATATTAAAAATAGAATCGCACATGAATTATATTAGTAATCAAAATATCCAATTTGCCCCCGACCCTATGCCTTTTGGCATTATTGTACAATTAGCTAATGTCCATACTTAAAAACACTCCATAAGAATTTAAACCCATTATTTTTAAAAATAATTGGGCAGATTTTTTTTAAAAATATGACTACAAAAGAATAGCAATGTCTACACAATTTTCCTAATCATATCATGAAAAGTTAGTAACTGTTACAAAATTTTTAGAAGTAAAAAAAAAATTAAATCAACATGCCTCCATATGCTTATGCCATTTTTTTTCTTTTAATCTTTAAGAATGTTCGGATCAGTTTATGTGTACTTGAATTAATCATTTCCTCAATCTGGTCAAAAGTAGATCTTCTACACTAGAATTAGGGTATTCATAAATGATGATGCATAAATTAGTCTCGTGCAANAGAATGTTCGGATCAGTTTATGTGTACTTGAATTAATCATTTCCTCAATCTGGTCAAAAGTAGATCTTCTACACTAGAATTAGGGTATTCATAAATGATGATGCATAAATTAGTCTCGTGCAAGATCAATAGTCAAGTATATGAAGGGGTGTAATTGATGAGCAATAAATAAAGAAATCAATGGCAAAACGATAAATAAGGACAACAAACACGCAGATATATAATGCTTTGGTCCGGGTGACCTACTCCACTCTCGAAAAACGGCAACGGTGGCCGGAGATCTTTATTGATGAATAAAGTAATCGGAAGAGTACACTCCAGGAGAATTACAATGGTTAACAAAAAGAAGCTATGTGTGTGTAGAGAGATGTAGAGGTGTGTTAGGAGATGTGTGTGTGAGACGTAAAGATGCCTCTCCTTGTGGAGAGAGCTTACAATATATATGTGTTGGTGAGGCGGTGACGTGAGGGAGAGGACATCACTTATTTGGTAAGAACAATTAAGGTAGGATTTGATCTCCATAAGTATATATCCCGATATTCTCTCTCCCACGTCCTCCTATATTTTTGGACTCCTTGGATCTTGGACTGTGTTAGATTGGTGAAGTGGGCTTGGGTTGCCTTTTAGATGACTTGGGCTCAGTTAATTTATTGGGCCTAGCCCAGTCGATTTTGGGCGCGTCATTTGCCCCCCATGTCCCAAGTCCTTGCGACGTCAAGGAGGTTGAGGCCATGAGTGAGCCTTTGGACGGATAAAGGTTTCTTGTTCTGCATGGNGGCGCGTCATTTGCCCCCCATGTCCCAAGTCCTTGCGACGTCAAGGAGGTTGAGGCCATGAGTGAGCCTTTGGACGGATAAAGGTTTCTTGTTCTGCATGGTGGTAGCTTCTTTAGTCTTCCCTCTCTGCGTACCTCTAGAGCTCACTTTGTTATTTTTCATATCTTGCTGCTGAAGACTACTATGAGCTAAAAGGAGATTTCATCCTTTCATATTAAAAGCCATTCTCTTACATTTAGGGCATACCCCTTAGGGTATCATTCGTGTAGAGCTCCTAGGTCGTGTCATTGCAAAGCTTCAAGGCGAAAGAAGCATGGGTGGCCCCTTTGCGTAGAAGGCAACAACTATGTTGTCCTAGGCAACACCCCACATGTGGCTGGAGGAAATGGAGTTCTGAGCGAAGATAGGAAGGGGAATGCACTTATGAGAGGAGACGGCGCTGGCCTCGGCCTGGGCAACGCCAGGCAATGCTTGGACCTGGGTGACGCCAGCCCGCCCCTTAGCTTAGGTGACGCCCTGGGCAGAGGAAAAGAGGATGGCTCCTTGTGGGCATCATATAGGCGACACCTATGGCACTGAAGCTGTCGCTAATGTGGGTTAGAGCAGGAGGGGTGACGCCTTGTAGGCGACACCAGGCTGGGGTATGCCTTGCAAGCACTGGGCGGCGCCAGAAGGTATGTGCTAGCTTGGCGGCGCCAAGAGGAGGTTGGGCGCTGGCTAGAGTATNACACCTATGGCACTGAAGCTGTCGCTAATGTGGGTTAGAGCAGGAGGGGTGACGCCTTGTAGGCGACACCAGGCTGGGGTATGCCTTGCAAGCACTGGGCGGCGCCAGAAGGTATGTGCTAGCTTGGCGGCGCCAAGAGGAGGTTGGGCGCTGGCTAGAGTATCAAAAAATTATAAAAAATNGTGACGCCCTGGGCAGAGGAAAAGAGGATGGCTCCTTGTGGGCATCATATAGGCGGCACCTATGGCACTGAAGCTGTCGCTAATGTGGGTTGGAGCAGGAGGGGTGATGCCTTGTAGGCGACACCAGGCTGGGGTATGCCTTGCAAGCACTGGGCGGCGCCAGAAGGTATGTGCTAGCTTGGGCGGCGCCAAGAGGAGGTTGGGCGCTGGCTAGAGTATCAAAAAATTATAAAAAATGTGTAAAACTTTGAACGATCATAACTCTGCACTCGGTTGTCCGTTGGAAGCAAATTATTTTTTGAATCTGGGTATTTTTTTCGAGATCTACGACATACAAATAGCCAAAGGTGATTTGGTCAACAAATTTTCAAAAAAAATACTTCTATCTCTCTGAATTTGAGTTTCAAGCACAAATTATTGACACCGATAGTGGTGAGAAGTTGCGTTCTGGCAGTCAACTATCAGGCATTCATGGGCGATGAATTGGCATTCTAGGTTTTTGCCAGAGATGGAGACTATGATGGCTTTTGACTGGGTAAGAGGCAAACCCGCTTTCTCCAACCCTGTTTTCTCTCCTTAATGATTTCTCGATGCTGATTCTTTATACTGACCTTATCTCTAATTGCAGGGGCCTTGTTGATAAGGCAATGGTGGAGGCTCTCTATGCTTTAGGGTGGTGTCTTTCCCTCCTTTTAAGATGGCAAGGTTTGATACCCCCAGTACTTCCAGTCAAGGTCCGATGGTTAGGTTGCTTATCAGGAGATGAGACTCAATGGTGCCCCCACTCCTTTTCAAACTGGGACTTCTGTGTGTACTAGAGATAGTCCTTGTACCGCTGTAGGAGTTGAGACTCTAGTGCGGTCTTCTACGGGGACTGTAGCTCTACATAGCTGTCCTGCTTCTAGTAGTGGCTTGGTGTCCATGGTTTGACTTGACTTTAGTCAAGAAGCAACTTTGGGGGTCCGTGACTCTTAGGGATATTAGAGAGGTTGAATCTCGAGGTCCAAAGGGCATTATCAACTTTGATTTTGTACTCGCCTTCTTTCTTTCATATTCTGCTTTTTAAATGTTTGCTAGTAGCTGCCTTTTTTCTCTTACCCTTTTCAAGGACTGAAGCTTGGAGAGGCATTCAGGCATTTGGTAACAGAAAGGCAGGCACGGGGGCTGTTGAGAGTAGTTGAGGTTGGCTCATGAAAGAGTAATACCTCTTGAGACCTCACTTTTGGCAACTCGTAAAAGTGGCGCTAAACCAGAAATTGAGGCNGAAGCTTGGAGAGGCATTCAGGCATTTGGTAACAGAAAGGCAAGCACGGGGGCTGCTGAGAGTAGTTGAGGTTGGCTCATGAAAGAGTAATACCTCTTGAGACCTCACTTTTGGCAACTCGTAAAAGTGGCGCTAAACCAGAAATTGAGGCTGTTTGGGAGCAGAGATAAAATTAGGCCAAGCTTCTTGGCGACTCGAGAGAGAGTGCGAAGCTAGATATATAGGCTGCTTAGGAGCAGAGGTAGGATAAGATTGAGCTTTTTGGTAACTCACGAGAGTGCGAAGCTGGATATATAGACTGCTTGGGAAGAGAGGTANTTGTTTGGGAGCAGAGATAAAATTAGGCCAAGCTTCTTGGCGACTCGAGAGAGAGTGCGAAGCTAGATATTTAGGCTGCTTAGGAGCAGAGGTAGGATAAGATTGAGCTTTTTGGTAACTCACGAGAGTGCGAAGCTGGATATATAGACTGCTTGGGAAGAGAGGTAGATTCAGGCCGAGCTTCTTGGTGACTCGTGAGAGAGTACGAAACTGTATACATAGACTACTTAGGAGCAGAGGTAGGATTCAGGCCGAGCTTATTGATGACTCGCGAGAGAGTGTGAAGCTGGATACATAGGTTACTTAGGAGGAGAGGTAGGATTAGGCTGAACTTTTTGGCGACTCATGAGAGAGTGCAAAGCTGGATGCATAGGCTGCTTAGGAGTAGAAGTAGGATTAGGTCGAACTTCTTCACAACTCGCGAGAAAGTGCGAAGTTGGATACATAGACTACTTGGGAGCAAAGGTAGATTTATGCCGAGCTTTTTGGGTACTCATGAGAGAGTGCGAAGTTGGAGATTGATAAGATGATTGTCTGTACGAGAACAAAGTCAGAGCTGCAAGCGCTCCATGAGAGGGATATTGGAGCTGAGGCCGAGCTACGTATAGCTCAAGGGAGAGCTGTCGTGGCAGAAGCTCATTTCATTGAGATGGAGACGAGGAGAGCGCCCCGCTTAGGAGCTGGGCGCCTGAGGTGCTAAGCGTCTGGTTGCTAGGCGCTTGAGCCTGGTACTTGGTGCTTGGTGCTTGGCGATTGAGGCTAGGTGCATGGTGTTAGGCGCTTGGTGTTGGGTACATGGTGTTGGGTTCCTGGTGCTAGGGGCGCCTGAGGTTGGGCATCTGTTGGGCACCTAGTGCTAGGCGCTTGGTGCAGGGTGCCTGGTGCTAGCCCTTGGTGATGGGTGCCTGCTAAGAGGGGCATTACAAACGCCTTTATTAATGGTTATGAAGGGCTTGGTAGCTTTCCCTACTATTGATTTCTCTGGCTTCGTCCCCTATGAGGCACCAACAGTAGTTGGTAACGGGGAGAGCCTTGATGATAGTGGTTGTGGCTTGGAAAACAGTGATTGATCGTTGGGAGTAGCCTTAATCATTGGAAGTATGACGACTGTTGTTTTTTTGTCTACCTTGTTATTAGGTCATGTTCTGACTTTTGTAAGCTATTTACAAGCTTTATGAAAGAAAAACAAGACAATTATGGACACAATAATATTCGCAGAGTTTTATTTCATAAAATAATAAATAAAAAAATAAATCAACTGAAACAATAAAGAATAGCTAAAATTTTTAAGTGATCGGTGTCCTACAAGTGGGCCAAGACTTTCCTGGTGGAGTTGGAGTCGCTTCCTCCTCCTAGCGTTTAGGAGATTGTCTGGATTTCTCCAAGGGGTTGTTGATGTTCTCTGTCATCCTGGTCTCGCCCAGGTGGCGAGACTTGTCCTCTGCCAGTAACGTACCACCTTAATTGGCCACGATGTATGAGCTTCTCGATCTACCTTTTAAGATCAAAATAGTCCTCAGTATTGTGGCTGTGGTTGCAGTGGAAATGACAGTACTTATTCGGGCTCCTACAGTTTGGGGTGGACTTCATTTTTCTAGGCCAACAGAGAGTGGGGTCATCCTGTATCTAGAACAGGATGTGTTCCATTGAGGCGTTGAGTGGCATGAAAGGTTGTCATTCTCTCCGGGGTACTGGATCGAGACGGTCTTTGACAGAGACTCTTGGTTCTCTGTCTCTTGCTCTTTTCCTCTCTCTTGTCTTCGTGGGTGTCCTTCATTTTCTCTCATCCTTGGTAGGACTCACCTCGACTGAATTTGGTGACATCCTCAGCGTTTATGTACTTTTGTGCCTTTGACAGCAGCTCGAGTATGTTGCAAAGTGGCTTCTTAAGGACAAAGAGCATAAAACTAGAGGAGTACAGACCTACAACGAAGGCGGCTAGGGCTACTTTATCGTCTGACTCTTCAATCTGGAGAGCCTCCACATTAAAACGAGTGAGATAGGTCCTAAGACTTTTATCTTGGACTTGCTTGATGGTGAGAAGGTGGATAACATGTTTCTGATATCGGCGTTCGCCAATGAAGTGGGAGATGAAAAATTTACTCAACTCCGTGAAAGAATGGATAGATGAGGGTTTGATCTTTGCAAATCATTGTCGGGGTAGACCCTTTTAAGGTGGTAGGGAATGCTCAACACATGATCTCATCAGGTATTCTGGCGAGGGACCCCATGATGGGGCGCTACTTGGCGCTTAGAGTGGATAAGTTGTTGTTCCTCTCTTGTTGGAGGGAGTGGGGCTCCTCCCACAGGGTGAGGGGCGGCGCCTCCCTAGGAGAGCATCAACTAAATTATCTGCTGATTTTGGTTTACTAGCAGCTACATTGTATGTAGAAGTTGTTGCCCGATGACGGGAGTCGTCGTAGCAGATGGTTCCGAGGGTGCGAGGGNTGGGTATCTCGACCAATCTTCTTTCTGATTTAATAAAAACAAGTTATCATAGTCGGGATTGTCTCGACCTATGCCTATTTGAAGAAGTCAAATTGAACAATATTCAGTTTAAGAACAAAATGAAAGTAATTTTTATAGTTTAGGTGGCTATTTGGGTAATTTAATCTAAAATTTACTTAACTAAACAGCTAAATGAGCTAATATCAAAAATTTATTTTGAAAAAATTAAAATGTTTATATTTTTAAAGATATTCAAACGAATTAGTGATTGAATTAAAATTTTAATAGTTAAAAATATTTTAAAATATTTGAAATAGTTTGAGATGTTTCAACTTCAAAATGTATAAATTTTTATTTTCTAAGTGACTAAATAATATATAAAAATAAAATTTTGATCCCTATAACAAGCTGCCTGCGTTTCGTCTCGTATGTATATAATTGCCACTAGGAACCAAATTCCATCCGCACCGTTTTTTTAATCACCATTAAGCAATGTTAGTACTTTCGTAGAGAAATACCAACACACTATATTTTTCACATCAATTTTAATTATAACACAAAAAATTTACTTAATACAGTTGTGTAAGGCTGTGGGTGTGCCTGTTGGACCCTACCACCACTTTATATGAATATGGAAGGTCCGGTTATCATATAGGTAATGATGTTTTCGTACCACAATAGGTTTTAATGCATGAATCAAAAGCTTGTGGTCACTATGATGAGTCTGATCACACCCATGATAAGTCAATTGGTTAGGTGATTGGGTCCCCATTTGAATCATAGATATTCCACACCCAGAGTTGCTTGTGTCTCCATTATTTTCGGCTGTTGGGTTGGTTTTGTTTACATTTCTTGGTGAAAGAATGTGGAACCATCCACAAGTGGGATATGTGTTGTTGAATTCTTTCGAAAATTTGTCTTTTTTCATTCAACGATCAACGCTATTTGAACTAATTTATACACGATTTGATTAATTCTCTCTTCAGTTCAATCAGAGATAGGCTCTTGGTATCGATCCAACGACACATATTCATAAATGATGATCAGGGATTTCGAAACAAATTATAAACACCTCGATTAATTTCTT